CAGGGCTTCATCATGCCTTTTTTCCCTAAGGCCCTTGCTTCATTAATTGCTGAGACTGAACCTGCTCTGGGAATGAGTTAGAGCTGTGCATTAAAGGAAACTTATCTGTTAGACTTCTCCTTCCATTTTTGCAGAATTTGGAAGGTATATCGTGAATGAGGCAGGGGATTGCAGAAAGAGAAAGAGATGGGTTTATGGCTAAGGCTGCTGAATGCCAGCCTGGAGGATTGGACACTTTCCCTGCTTCTGCTGTATCCCCCCCAGGGTACTGCTGGGCAAACCTCTTAACCAGACTTTTCACAGGTGTTTCTAATTGCATGCTCCTCATTTTCTAGGTAGCTGACTTGAGACTTGACTTGAGGGTCTAATTTGTGGAAGTACCGAGCGTACACAGCTGGAGCACTTGCGGTGCTTTGCACTCACAACAGTTGGAGTCAGTAGAGTTGTGCCTTTAACACAAAGAGTTCAAAATAATAAAATGTAAAAGCGAGGGCTCAGGAGGCCCTTTCGAGTCTCATGTTCTTACAATCCTATGTTGGACAACCAGAAGTAGTGATCTTTCTGTGCTTGCCCTGCCATCAGTAAAGTAGGGTAACACTGCATCTCACTTCATAGGATTTTTTTGGAGATAAATGATTTGCAGCACTTGCATCCTATAGTGATAAAGGCAGCAGAAAAGCCATAGGGGAATTAAGTCTGTCCTAGGAGCAGGATTTGAATAGTCTATAACAAATAAGGCCTGAGGCAACACTCCGAACAGTGATGATAAAAACGAAATATTGAATAGCAGCTCATTAACTTACTATCATCTGCACCATGCCCTGGAAGAGGCAGAGGTCCTGCAAAGAAAAGTGCATAGACCTCTGTAAGCAAAGACTTCGTCATAATGCATAGACACAAAGCAACAAAATACAGTCAGCACTAGCAAAATTAACTCTGGCATTTCTAAACTTTTGAGTGATTGGCTTTGTAACCTGATTGTGCATTTTAACCTAATGTTTTGTATGGTTGGGTAGAAAGTAATGTAAAATGAGCTGCTGAATCTGAGCAAGTACGTTAAAACGCTGATGTTTTATTGAGAGATTTAAAAACTAGGAACAAAATCACCTAAGAAGAAATTGTAAGACAGGTTTAGCATGCCTTAAAAGTAGAGCAGTACATCAGCAAATGTATCATAGGAAACAGTAGTGCTTTTGCAGGGAGGTAGACTGTATAATTTAATAGTTCTTAATTTTTAAATATGATTGTTTGCCTTTCTCGGTCTTAGCATGGTTTTAAAAAGATCCTGCAGTTTAAACTAAATCTTCACGGGCCTTTAGAATAAAAGCACCAGCAGAGCATAAATGATTATCACCATCGCTACAGACAAATCTAAGATGAATCCAAATCTGGCAACCACCCCTGTAGCCTCTCCTCCTGGCCCTCAGAGTATGAGATGAGGGGATGAGCCAGGCTGAAAAGCATGCATCCACCTGCTTACAGCAGAGCGTGCTGCTGGGAGCATTTGCAGGAGGTCAGGAAGGTTACGGATACAGACATGGGCTGTGTGAAGACGGGGAAGGCAGCAGCAGTGGCAGTCCATAGAGGAGTAGCTGCAGGTGCCACTGGAATAGCTGGGGCAGGTACAGGGTACCAGATGGAGTGGAGAGCATTTACCTCTTCACACAAAGGGATATTACAGCACGCTTGTCATTCTCATAGCATGACACCCTTTGGGAGTCACTGCAGTCTAAACAAATGTGAAGTAAAATGGATTAACCACTGTCTCCCAATAGGATCACATTCACCCCATAAAAATAGCCCCCGTTTCATTTTTTCTGAATGGCCTGAAAACAAAGCCTCTCCTGAACTGGTCTGAGGCCTCCCTTTCTGGCCATGACCATTTCTGAAAATGTTGGTGTGATACTAAAAATCAAATTTGTAATGACTTGTTTATAATTGCCATTATAAAATTGCAGTATTGCTCTACAGGTGAATGTAGCCGGTAATGAATGCCTGGTAATTTAGGGCTAGCAGGATTTGGCTCTGGCAGATTGTAGAAGCTGTTGATTCTTGGTGCAATCTGAGTCATATATTTAGTCGTAGTCTGTAAAGTGTGAATCCACTGTTGCTTTGCATCTGCCTTTGCATCTACCTTTGCTATTGTTCTTCTTAAGATCATGACTCTAATTGTGGTGGTTGAAAAGCCAGGTGAGAAGTCACCCCAGACTAGGTTAAGGTTGGGGGGTAGCCTTGATCTATCATATAGATAGAGCACCTCTTCCAACCAAGGTCATAAACTTGTTATTTTCCTTTTAATTCACATTTGGAGTAGGGAAAATAAATGTTAGTTGTGTAGTTCTTTGTGCTTTTCACTTAAGTTTTTAAAGACTAATCTCAAGTGGATACATCCACTACTATAGTACCAGTTATTTATTTTGCCCTATACATAAATGCTAGAATCTTTGCTTGCCCACAAGGAGCTCTGTGGATATGGGTCAGGTACATCTGCTCAGCACTTCCCCAGTTTGTGTGCAAGTGTGAATGACATCCAGGCAAGTGCTCCTTTAATCAGTATCCTGCTCACTTGGCAGAGTTGACAAAAGCAACAGTAAAAGTTACAAACCCCAAGGCTAAGTACAGATATTTGGGGGCATTAGGGGGAGGTTAAATTGATTCATAATGGTTGCCTGATATCAGGTAAGCCAGGATGGCAGGGACTAGCCAGCAGGATTGGGGGTCCGGCAGACTGGAGGGGATTGGGGATCCAGCAAGCTAGAGGGCAGGCTTGACCTGTGGAGGGAGAAGAGGACAGGCATGACCTGCAAGGGATCGAGATGGGGAGATGTGACCCCTGGGTGGGGTTGGGTCCCCCTTAGCAAACCCACACCCCCATCCCTCCTGCCTCTCCCCTCACTGGGACTAACTGACTTAGCTCTGGCAGTAGTGAACACTGATAAAAATGGCTGCACCCAGAGCAGCCCGTGGGATAGGGGTTGAGAGGGGTGGCTCGGGGGGAGCAACAGGGTGGGGACAAAAAATAGACCAGTGTGGTAGAAGGGGGGAGTGAAAGAGCAGTCCTGGGGCTGGGGCTGGGGCTGGGGTCAGTGGCTGGGATTGCCCAGCACCAGGGCTGCGCAAGGTAAGTGGACAGAAGTACCATGCACTTGGACAGAAGTTGTTCAGCATCTACTCCTTCCTCTCTCTTGTCCAATCTGTGCATCAGATACTGACCTTTGTTTGGTAAACTGACAAGGTGAATGCTAGACTTCAGACTTGCATTTTCTTCTGTTTGGGAATGGTAGAATGTCAAGAGTTTTGCCCTGAGTAGATGCTAGCATTTATACCAAGGTATTGTGTTAGCATTAAAAGGTGTTCTGCCTTTTTTTTCTTTGGGGGCTTTGCAGTTGGATTTGGTTTCTCCATTGCAACCATCTGTGTGTGCAATGAAAGGGCTAAGTGTTGCTTAAGAGTCCCCATTGATTTGTTTGAGCCTCAGTTGAGGAGAAGGAAGCAGGAAATGGGTCCTAAAGTAGAGGTGACAAAGATCTGACCAGCAGAGCCATATCATCCAGCCCCTGGTGTCATCCCTGTGCAGGGCCAGTTCAGCACCTCTCCCCATGTGCTTGATCCAGTGCCCACTCCAGTCGGTCTGGGACTGTACCGTATATGTTGCCCACTCTGGTCAGTCTGGGATGTGATGTGCACTTGGTGTACCCATTCCAGGTGGTGTGGGGCAGGTGCCACTTCCAATGCAGTCCTGGACTAGCAAGTTCTGGATCTGGCATGTGGGAGGGTGCTCTCTGAGTCTCCTGCATGCCAGATCCAGTGCCTGCTTTGCTGATCTGGGACTTGTACTGCACATGTGCCCTGGACCAGTCTGAGGTGGAGCTTCATTGTGTTTGCATCCTGATGTGGCCAGAGTGAGTATAGAAGACACTGGATTCAGCATATGGGAGGGGAGAGGGGTTTTGTGGGTCCAGTCTGGCCCACAGGGCTGGCCCTGAACCATTCATCTGGCCCACGGACTGGTCCTGGGCCATTTATCTGGTCTGCATGGCCAAATAAGTTTGACGCCCTGTCCTAGAATGTGAATCATTCTGCTTTAGTCTGTAAAGCTATAAACAAATGTCATCCAGTGAAGCACATGAGCTGTACCAGAATGTGTTCCAGCACAGCTGATCCACTTCATTGGGTGAAACAGGCATCCCATGTTGTCCTGCAGTGTCCGGCAACTGCTGCTCCTAGGACTGGCCAGGGCTTGAGCTGCCGGAGAATGTTTGTAGCACATCTGCAAGCAAGGAAACCTGGGTTCCCCCCATCTGCAGAGGCATGTAAAAGTGCCCCTATGTACTTTCATTGAATAGCATTTACAGGATAATCTGTGCTGTTTGGTGTGGGACAGGACGAATTTTTCCCTCACTATAGGTGTGAAGGAACTTGGGACATGAATTCTTGACTCTTGAATGACTGTTGCTACTGGTGACTACTAGGTTAGCTGTACTTCCTCATTCTGGTCAGTCTTGCATTCACTTGCAATCTGAGAATAACAGGCTCATTTCTAACACAATTCCACAATGGAAACTTTAAAATTCAAAGGATGATGACAGCTCAGCTGTTGCCTTCTGTACTATTACACTTTTTATTTTTTCCATAAGGTCTGCGTAATGAAATATAATCCAGGTTAACCATTTTGCTTACAAAGAAACCTGGTTCTTAGATGGTGTAGCAATCTATGTGCCTGGTCAGATACACACTATAAACTATGATTTTGCTAAGTTTAACATACCTATGACAACCATAGCAGTTGCTTATGTGAAGAAATAATTTAAATTTTAGTGGTAATTGAGTGCAGTTTAGCATTTCAAATAAGAGGCCAATGAAGTCCATCTCCAGATACTATGAAAATGTGAGCAGTTAGGGTTAACATTTGAGGACAAAAAATACTAAGCTGCATTTTTCAAGGTAAAACAAACAGATGTGTTGGGATGTTCTAAAAATGATATTCTCTCTCTTTCCAGGTGCATTTTACTTGGTGTTTGAATATATGGACCATGACTTAATGGGACTACTGGAATCTGGCCTGGTTCATTTTAATGAAAATCACATAAAGTCATTTATGAGGCAGTTGATGGAGGGTTTGGCCTACTGCCATAAGAAGAACTTTTTGCACAGAGATATTAAATGTTCTAATATTCTTCTAAATAATAGGTATGTGAATATAACTATATACAGATATGTTATACACTAATACCAGACTTGCCCATGGTTACCCAGCTGACCAGTGGCAAAGGTGGGAATAGAATGCAAATATTCCTAGTCCTTGCCCAGTGTGCTAGTCATTAGAGCACCTGTCACGTTTGCAGAAAATAGTCCTTGAATGTTAAGTTTAGTTACACATATGAAGAGCAAAGTCTTCTGTGGCTTCCACAGGGAAGTGCAATTGCTGATGCTCATTTGCTTATGATTTAATACCTTGATTCTGACAGTTTTCAGTTAAAGTGTACAGTATACAATAGGAGTGGCCTCTGCCATTTGTGTGACATGTTGGCAGCCACTGGCAGATCAGAGTGAGGACATACAGCACAGCAGGAGATGGGGCAAGGCACAGAAAGAGCAGGAGACTGGATTGGGGAAGGAGATCAGAGTGGCGCTTGGGAAGGGTGCAGGGCTAATTTATGGCACACCTGTATTCAGGTTGGTCCTCATGTACAAAATGGTGGTGTCCCCCTTCAGATGTTTGCTAACACAGTTATTTAAGTGCTTTTACATTATATGTTTTGAATCTTACTAACATACTGCAAAGGACATGCCTGCATGTATCAAGAAGTATTACAAAATGTCCTGTTTCACTTTTTCAAAAATATTGATGGCTAGCATACTACATAATTGAAAAGATTATTTAGTAGTGTGAATTAGCGAGGGTCATCTGAAGCTGTATCTGAGCGCTTGGCACCTACTTAATTTTGTTTGCAGACCTCTTGATGAGATTATTCACTAAATAGTTATTTGTTCCTTTTCCACCAGAGGGCAGATTAAACTTGCAGACTTTGGGCTTGCTCGACTGTACAATTCGGAAGAGAGGTAAGATAATGCTGCACTGGAGAAAGGATTTAAAAGAAAATATTATACCATATTTTTCACATATAGCCCACACCTTTTCCTCCAAAACCAGCTGGGAAAAATTGGGGTGTGCATTATATACAAAGAAAAGGAATCCCTATGGGTCTGAAAATTTGGCAGGGGGTGGGGTGGAGTGGGGAGGAAGGAGGAACAGTGGCAGTGTTAATTGCCATGGACCTGGGAGCCATGGCAATTAAACACTACCACTGCTTCCCCTCCGTCCCTCCTCCCCCCACTGTCAAATATCCTGACTTGTGGGGTGCCATACTCCCCACCCACACACCAGATCAGGCTGATGCTTGGGGTTGGTACATGGCCAGACTTGGCGTGCTGAGTTCGACTTAGCTGAGTCTGGTGTGCCTGGTCCACCAACATGCTGGCTCTGGAACTACGTGCCATGTGGGACACAGCACCTGGAGCCGGCACATGGGGTTGGACCTGGCACATCAGTGGTTCCAGAGCCAACACGTCCTCAAACCTGGCATGCAGCGCCAGACTCAGTGTACTCCTGGGCTATGTGGTCCCAGACCCGCTGCATGAGGTTGGACTGCCAGTGTTGGATTGGTCTGTGGGCCTTATCTGGCCCAAAGGGCTAGCAGCAGGCTTAGGCTTGCCTTGGTTGTCGCTCTAATTGCTGCCAAGGTAAGATTTTTTTTTCATAGTTCCTTTTTAAAAACAGGATGTATGGTATATTCAGGAGTGGAATCTATGCAAAAAAATACAATAGTACCAGGAGAAACATTTTTTTTTATTCTTCTGTTGGTAGTGCCAGAGTACAGTAGAAATGATTAGTGGGGAGAGAATGAAGAACACCTGTAGTCATGGTGCTTTAAAAACTGAAGATTGTGTTTGTGCGATACCAAGGTTTTGTCTTTTTAGATGTTTGACAAACATATTGGCGTTTTTTTTTGTTTCTTTTCCTCCTAATTGTTTCAAAATACCATTGGTTGGGGGGTGGCTTCTTACTTGAGCATTCACTTGTTGTTTTATGTCCTTTCTTTAAACCTCCAAAGATTAGTGACACCCCAGTTAATCCTTTTATTTTCAACCTAAATTGATTGGAAACAAAAGATTGCAGTGTTAGATGGTCTGCCTGATTGCGTAAAATAATATTTCTGTTCTGTAGTTTAAAAACTATTATCCACCTCTTTCTGCACCAGGAAAGGGTTCAGATAGGAAGAAAAAAGTAACATTTTGCTTGCATTGAGTTTATTCATTGCAACCTGCGTATTTTAATTTCGTCCTCTGGGCAGACAGGTCTGGCGAGCTTTGAAGAACAGATATGGGAATGGTTTTATTTGAATAAAAATTTGCTTTGCTTTAGTTTGTGAAAAGAAGTACTTTAAAATGAGTCTGATGTTACAGTTGAACTCTGCTCCTGTTTGTATTTAAGCAAACAGCTGCAGAGTTTATATGGCATAGTAGTAATTTGTTATAAAGATTTGCACTTAGTATCATGCTTATTTAAAGTTTACCTTGTATGAAAGGTAGTGTGTGGTCTGGTTCACAAAAATCTGTAGTTTACATCACAAGGAATACACATTGGACACTTGAACACATTATACACACACATTTGATTGGTGCCTACCTGATATTGAAAATGAGGTCTATGGTGTTGATGCCATACAGCATGATTGTTTACTATGGATTCCAGTGGTAAGCATTAGGGCTCTGCAAAGCTTCAGTCGCTGATTCAATTCAGTGGAGATTCGGCCCAATTCGGTGGCCAGATCTCCGAATCCAAATCGAATCAGGAGGCCCTTTAATCTTTCCAAATCAATTCGGAGAGAATTGACGATTTGATCATAGATAAAGCTTTAAATGTATTTTCTACATAACTCAATGTACCAGGTGGCTCGTGAATGCTGAGGTGTTGGGGCAGATGGAGCGTCCCAGGGGAGCACAGGGGGAGGGGGTTCCCAGCACACTTGGCAGCGGATGCAGAAGTGGACCAGAAGCACCAGGGTCCACCAGGGAGTGGGTCCACCAGGGAGTGCATGGGGACACTCTCTCCACCCCCCAACCCCGGGCTTGGCAACTGGTGCCTCCTGGGTCTGAGGGGGTACCTGGGGTCCCCTCATGGCCGATCGCTGAGTGGGGGGAGGGTGTCCCCCACATGCTCCCTGGTGGACCCGGAAGGGACCTCTTCCCCTCCCCCCCTGCTCCTACAGGACGCTCCATCCACCCCACCATTGCAGTGTTCATGAGCCATGCTGGTACCTTGAAGTATGTAAAAAGAACCATTTAAACTGTGTCTATGGCCGAATCGCTGATTCTCCAAATCAGCATTGAATCTTCAGATTCGGATTTGGTCAGATTGGATCAGGACAGTGATCCGAATCAACAAATAGAATCTCTGTCCCCAATTCGGGCCAAATCCGAATCAAATACAGCCTGTTTTGCACACTCCTAGCAAGCATGTTTTGATGGTAGTGTTGTTGGTTTCAGTGTATTGTGTTTAGCTAGCTGCATTAAGTTGAGAATATAAATTTGATGCTGAAAGACAGTTTTGCAAGTTGTCATGTGAAAGGAGAGTTGCAGGGTGAATAAGGGTGAATAATTCAAGCCACTATTTGGAAATGTAGTTTTTTCATGGAGACACTTGTTGCAAAGTGAATGAGCTGACAGGTGGATGCAACCCTAGCACAGTACTATTCAGTGTGTGCCAGGCTTATTTAATTTTTGTGTAACTTTAAGTTTTGATACTGTGGTTGCCATTATCAGATGGTGTTGATGTGTAGACCAGGTGTGTTTGTTAATACTTCCTTAATTAATAGAATATATAGCTTGGGAATGGCAAAACTTAAAATTCAGATGGAATAAACCTAAACAGCAACATTATTACTTTATCAACATAATGAAGATTAAAAGCTATCTATGTTGGTTGACATAACTGCATATTAACTTTAGAAGGTTAATAAGAAGCTGGTTAGAAGCTCTTGGCAGTTGATTCGTCAGTCAGGTGCCTACTGAGTGTGGTTTTGACCTGCAGTAATAGCAGTGATTCTGGGTGCTTTTAAACAATTGTATTATATAAGCTTTTCTAAATTTTCACTTGTCCATATTTTGACATTTGATTTACTGACCTAATTATATGCCGTTTAAAAGGATTTGAGATTTAGAATGTTTTACTTTTTTCAGTGATTTCTAGATTTACACTCTCCATTTGTCAAACACAATTTAAAATAGAATTTTTACATAAGCTACAAATTGTATTTCTAAAAGGCACTTTCAATTCTGTGCTCAGCTTGTGAATTCATAGATTTTTGTATATGGAAAGGGAGGAGTTGTCTACATATCAATAAAATAGAATTAGTTTGTATTCACCTGACTTCCACTCAACTCACCACTAGTCCTTGTATTGATAGGCTGTTTAAAAATCATGCCCTAAATTATGAAAAAATATTGAGTATGGCTTTGACAGATTGTGAGCTTGATGGTTGGTCCAATAGGGACCTCACTGGATCCAGCCACCAATCAATTAATTGCCAGCCTGGCGGAAATCACATCAGAACTGGTTCTAGACTCTAGTGCCAACTGACATTTGGCTGATTGTGGGGTACCTAGATTTCAGCTCGGGAGCCTGTGTTCCTCCTGCACTGGCAAGCATGAATGGGGTCTGATCTCTGATCCCTGAATTGCGTGTGTGGCTGGCATGGCAGGAGACACAATTGTTGGGATCAGATTCTATTATAGCTTTAAATGAGCGTTTGTCGGTGGCATTACTCCTGTGGCATTTAAGTTTTTATTCATTTTTTTTTTAAATCTGTTTCTTTGGCATAAATGTCCATGCTTGTGGCACACTTTTAGAAAGTGACTGATGACTTCAGTGCATGGGCATCGCTCTTTTTAGTTGATACTGAAGTCCCCATTGTAGGTCAGTGTCTTATCAGGAGACATTTGCCCTGCAGGTAACTATTGTGGTAGCAGCCATGCAGAACATTAGCCTGAGAAAGGTTGTTTTCCTAGAAACCTCTTGGAGCTGGCAATCTTGGCCAGCACCATGCAATATTCTTGTTTAATTTGAAGTATACTTAGGTTATTCAAATGCATTCCTTTGTACCTGTATGGATTTGTGGTTTGAACTTGATTGTTGTCACTAACAGAGCATAATTTATTCAAGCTGAAATAGGACTTTGCAGAGGTCCAGAATGTATAGTAGGAAAGCTGAAATAGGCAATTCCTACTGAATATTCGCTATCTTCAATGCTGAAATCAGTGCTGTCCACATGGTAAAATACTGGAATCTGAGCTCTAAAACAGTGTTAAACATAATCTAAGGTTAGCATCCATAATTAAAAAAAAATATTGATGAAGGAATGAGTGAAGGAAGATCAGAATTGATTACCACATGCCCTGTGCCATGAGCAACTGAATTCTGTATCACACCGGAAATCCTTCTGTGGTTCCTAAGTAAAGGCAAAAGTAAAAACTCTTATAGCATTAGATACAGAAGAAAAAAGTGCTGTATTGTTATCTTTAGTCATTTTAATATACCCTTCAGTTTTCAGTCTGGTAGAATTCTAGTGGGTTTCTTGGGGAGCTGGTTTTGAAGATTTGGTAGTGCTACAGTTAATAACCTTGAAATCCAGGAGGATCTGAGAAGAACTAAGAGTGGTGAAACTAAAGAGGCTAACTAAATATTGTTAACCTTTAGATTTATTGTCCCATCGAAGTGGGTGATGGTCTTTCATGATAAGGAAGTATTGTTTCAGGCTGTATTTTGGTAGACTCATTTAGGCAGCTTTTTGTTTATTTTTGTATGACGGCGATGATGGTGGACTTAAGCTAGTAACAGGGACATTACAGAAAGTGGAACATTTTACTTTTCTCACTTATTTTTTTAGAAATCTAGACTGTTGTTTTTCTTGCATTGAGGCTATAGTTAAAGTTTGAACTCTCTCTTTTTTTCCCCAGTCGACCATATACCAACAAAGTTATTACATTATGGTACCGGCCTCCTGAACTACTGCTTGGAGAGGAAAGATATACACCAGCTATTGATGTATGGAGCTGTGGGTAAGGATTTTTAATGCAAAAGTAGATTAAGTGTAAGCCATGAACCAAAAGTGAAACTCTCTGATCCTAACAGTTATATTGATGGAATTATGTAAACCTTTATTTTACAGATGCATCCTAGGTGAGCTTTTTACTAAAAAGCCAATATTTCAAGCAAATCAGGAACTTGCACAGCTGGAACTAATAAGGTAATTTGTATGCACTTACAAAACTTTTACTTTTTCATGGGTGCCAAAACAAGGACTTACAGTAGCAACATTTAAAGTATGTCAGAATTGTTGCCCAGAACAAAAAATGGCAGTAACTTTTGGGAAACTGTAAAGCAAAATGACCTTTACTTGGAATTGAGTAATCTTGTAGTCTTCATGGGCTTGGTGAGCTGAGCTTTTTATATATATTGAAGCTAGAGTTGCTTTCTGCTGACTTACTGTAGTCTGTCAGAGCAGGGGTGTACTGGTAGCCGTGTTGGTCTGAGACAAAAAGACGTACAAAAAACTAGAACTCTTGGTTCCAAAATGATACCTTTAAGTTTATTTCCGACCTATGGGGACTTATTACCATCTTATACCATCTACACTTTTCCCAGAGCCTGACGAAGGGACTTTGATCCCGAAAGGTTGCAGAAAAGGACAGTTTTCTTGCCATTTTCCAGTTGGTCTAATAAAAGGTATCATTTTGGAACCAAGAGTTCTAGTTTTTTGTATGTCTTTGTGTCAGAGCAGGGCATTTGACACGCCCTCTCTTACAGATGAGAGAGTAGCTTCCTTCCTTCCTTACTTTGCCTTAGCAAATTAAAGGCCAACATGGAGGTGGACATTTGAAGGACAAAGGGGAGGGCATTGCTCAGGAAAAGATTTTCTGCATGCTGCTGGCTTCTGTTGTCGCTTGGGTCTTCCACATAGTTGCGCAAGGACTTTTGCAGGAAGGAGCTTCTCTGCCTTGCCCCATAAATTTCCAGATCTTTGTAGATGTAAATATTCTCTTCTCGTCACCCCTATAAGTCTTCTTGGGAAGTTCTTGCTTTGAATTGGTGCAGAGCCTCCTTTCCCAGTTCAGCCAGCAAAGTCCTTCCTCTTACTTTTGATATAATTGATGTCAAAAGGAGGAAGAAGTCATACCCTGAAAGGTGGTGGAAAGAGCATATAAGTTAGTCCTAGCAAATGTAATAGAAGCCCAGAACAACTTTCACCTGATCTTTTTCAAGAGAGAGGTCAGTGATGTTGAGATGCCAAAAAGTATTGATTTACATTTACTGTAAATGCTTTACGTAACATGTAGGAAAGCTGGTCTTTACAAACAGCTTTTTAGGAAGTGTAAACCATGGCAGTAGTTATTCTGTTGCTTTGCACTAGTGTAGCAGTTCCCAAACCCTGACAGATTGTGCACTACCAATGATACAACCTTAAGTACCACCGGCAAATTTTTACCATATAAAGTAATTATAATAAATCTGTTAACGCGTAGCACTGACGGGTTGCCTGCGTGCCACAGATTGGGAACTGCTGCACTAGTGAAAATAAATTCATGCTGTATGAGTGTGTTTTCTTTATCCACTAGATGGCAGTGTAACACTTAATTCCAGCTCGTGTACTTCATAGAACTCAGAGTTTTGTATAGATTTAACTGATATAGCTTGCTGTTTGCTTCTTGCTATCAAAAGGATATTCAAATAGATGATCATTAGTTTTGCTGCTTCCTCTTTCCTGATACCCCACATTTGTGTATCACTTTAAAACAGCAGGATGATTTCTGGCATGTTTCATCTGGATCTAAACTGCTTGTGATAGCATAGTTCTTAATCAAGTATTTGTAAGTTCTTAACTTGTAAATATCTTTAGCAGCATCATAGATGACAGGAAAAATATGGCAAAGTTCATCCTTTTCCATTTCCCATCTGTTGAATCCTTCCCTCCAGGACCATATGTAATGCTAAACCAGGAAAAGTCATCATGGAAAAATAGCATTTTTCTATTTTTTTTTTCCGAGTATGCTATAGAACATGTAAGCAAGCATGAAGGCAGAACTTGGACTTATTTGTAGCTTGTAGTGACCTCAAAATGCCATAAACAACAGAAGGTTCTTCATTTGCACAAGTATAGCCTACATAGAGGGGGAAAAAAAACGTTTGCTGTAGAAGCCGAAACCAAATATCTGCAAAGCTGGAAGATAAATTAATTTATGAAAAATTAGGTTTCCAGCTACTGGGCCCACAAAGTTTAAACCCTGTTTTACAATAAATGGCCTGGTTCAAATTTGGATTTAAAAGTCTGGTATTAGAACATGTCAGATAAAGCAAGGAAGGGGTGGGGGGCTCTTGTAGTCAGTCCTCTTGCAGATGAAAACAAAACAGTCACCACCTCTGGGCCTTACTATTCAATTTTATTCTTTCATTGTTAACAGTTGAATTTTTTAAGTTGTCAGTAGAGAGCTTTTTGCTCCTAGCATTTGGCATAGTTTCTGTTCACACCAGAGCTTAGAGATATAGAGAAAATGAACTAAACATGCCGGATTTCTAAACCTAGGAGGGGTTCTTCCAAATTTCTTTCTTGTATGTTTGGTACCTTGCCATCTGTAGGAGACACCAACCTTCTGTTGGGTTACTGGTGATGCTAGCCAGGTGTAGTTAATTCTTTTATTTTGAAAAATACCATAATTGGCCCTAAAGAATCACTATTTAGAGAAGAGTATGAGATGCAACATGAACTTTCAGGTAGGATTTGCTTTGGCCTGTGAAGAATGAGTACCCATCCTTGCTCCTCAACTCACAGTGCTGTTCATGATTGTGGGTTGCAGGCATTTTGTGGAGAGGTTTTGCCTAAACAAGCCTGAAAACTAGACTATAGTTTGTTTTCTTTGTATTAACAGTGCTTGTGTTTATAAAACATGAGCCACTTTCATTTTGTTGTTTTGGTTCTCATACAACTGTTTGTTTTTTGTTTTTTTTTTTATACAGCCGAATTTGTGGGAGTCCTTGTCCTGCGGTCTGGCCTGATGTAATAAAGTTAGCCTATTTCAATACAATGAAACCAAAGAAGCAGTATCGTCGAAAATTGAGAGAAGAGTTTGCTTTGTAAGGATGCCTTCCTTAACTATCTGTATTGCATGAAGTATTTTGAGGACCTGAATGAATGTCATTGTCCCCCAGAGATTTCATTCAGTGCTCACATGTGGAGAAAAATGACTTTAAGTTCCCATCCTTCCCGTGACACTTGATGTGCATGCAGATCTTCTGTCAGTGTTAGTTATGGGTGCTGCATGCATGTGTCAAGAAGGGAGACTTGACCCTAATTTTTCAGCCACCAGTCAGCTTTTACATTAGAAATAGTTGCTTTCCAGGCCTGGGCACACCTGCTTCTTGTTCCTGGGACTAAAAGCTGCTCAGAATACTTGACTCCTTTTAATGCAGTACCCACCTACATCTAAATACATGGAATGGTTACCATTATAGAGTTTTTAGCCATAAGTTTAGTACATAAGGTACATTGTCTGAGCCATGTATCCTAGAATAGTGCCACTGGAGTCGTTTTGTGCGAATAATGAACATGAAAGTTACAGAAAACATCTGTAAGACTGTTTAGAATCTTTTTTCCCCTTCCACTATTTTGGGGTTTAGGAAAATGTATCATCCTGTTTGTATTAATGGAGTCTACTTTGTGTAACTTTAAAGCAGTACAGTTAGTATTTGTAGGCCAATTATTCTTTTTTTTTTTTTTAAAGAAAAGACAAAAACCTTTGTCTGCTAAATTCCGAAGCGTACAGTAATTGTATGCAGCCTTGTTAAAAGGGTAATTTAAAAAAAATGTTTTATTTTAAGGCTCCAGTAATCATACTATTAAAACCTACTTAAAGAGTATTTTTTTATAACATAAAGATGTGGCATCTAAAAATACAAATGTGACACACCCTCTGTTTTTTTGTTTTTTCAGTATTCCAGCAGCTGCATTAGATCTTTTTGATTATATGCTTGCTCTGGACCCCAGCAAGCGCTGTACAGCTGAACAGGCTCTTCAGTGCGAGTTTCTGCGAGATGTGGAACCTTCTAAAATGCCTCCACCAGAGTAAGTCCCTTCCTGTGATAATGGTGCTTATTCAATAAATGGAGTCATTCATATTGGTGAAAATAATCAATAATAGTTTAAATACAAATACTTGTGGTCCGTGCTGATTTTCCCAGTAAGAGAACTGCACAGTTAACTGGCTCCTTTGTCATGACTTAGCGACCTACCGAATTCACAGCAGTAGGCTGCACAGCAGCTCCTTTAATCTTTCAGATTCCTCCCCCTCGCCGCTGATTGGCAGAGAGGCCCCACTGCTCATTCCTGGTAGGCAGGGAGGCAAAACCCGTGGTTTTAAATATGGCACTGTTTTTGCCTCCCAACCGGTCAACAACAAGCAACAGGGCCACTGGGGCCCCTTTGCCATTCAGCAATGGGTGGTGGGGGAGAGGTGCATGGGGGGACCTGAAAAATTAAAGGAGCTGCTGGGCAGCCCACGTCAGCCATGAATTCAATAGGTCCCTAGTCGTGGCAGGACAGCACACACAAGGTTTTAGTATAGTTGGTTTGTTAAACATGGCATATGTCTTTTCCAGAGTTAATGACCTGTGTGTGTCACATAAAGTCCGTCTTTGTTCTTTCTGGGTTGAAATATCTGAACTCACAAGTGGTTGTTGGATCCTAGTGTCTATATCCTGCTCCAACATGTTCTCTGCTGGGGTGTAACAGTTGCCAGAGTCATGCAAAAGCATACTTGTAATTGTGTGGGCTGCAGAAGATTTATGATATTGCACAAATTAATCGTGCAGTTCTGTGGTTGTAGGAACATGAAGCCATAAAACGTAGTGGTGTGTTGTTTTTTGTTTTTAAACAGAGCTATGTATTATAATGTAATAATGTTCGTTGTTCACTGGGATTTTGTGATGGCTGTCTTGTTGTCATTAACAGCGAACATACTAAGAGCAGGGGAATTAGAGGGTAAATATTTCAGGATCTGTGTTCAGCAGTGTTCCTGATACAGTTATCTGGAGACACTGAGCACTTAATTCTAATGTTTTTTGAGTGAGTTGCACTTGCAGATCATGTAGAGAAGCTGAAGTTAGTGGCGTCACATTTTTAAATGAGCATTTTTCATTTAAAAGAAGTGTTTTTTTTCAGGAATTCCTGAGGGAATCCCTACTTAATGACAGTTGCTACTAGTTGGCTTGGTACACTTTCTACTGAAGCCTTTTGTGGGAGCTGGGTGTCACTGACTGAGAATATGGTCAGAGGCAGCACTAGTGGGCACCTTTTAATTGAAAAACAGCCTATATGCTTTAGGACAGTAGTAGCAGGAAAATGTGCCTGATCTTTATTAAAAAAAGACATTGGCATCTTAAACTTAGTTAATTTGAAAAATGTGGTAGATTATTTCCAGTGCAACACTTGTGCCAGAGCCCCCTTGCTAACTCTTTTTGTTTGAATTGCATTTTCCATTTTTCCCCCATATTTTTTGCTCCCTCGCATCCTAAACAAGATACAGAGAAAATAATTAAACTGACTACCTGCATGGCCAGGTAAAAAATGCCCCAAAAAAAAAAAAATGTAGTCTCCCAGCTGTCTTTATTATAGCAATCTTGGGTGTTGTAAGAGTAGGCAAAACATTTAGGCAGATTCTTACTAAGTGAATGTCCCTTAAGAATCCCACTTTATCTGTGAAAAACCCCCACTCACCTGAAAGATGGTTCTGCAGGAGGAAGCTATTTCTGCCTTCTCCCCACAGTATCTGTCAGCCTAGAAAGGAACAGCTGTTCCTTCAAAGAAAGTGGGAGGATTGCTGAAGGACAGATCAGCCTGCTCTCAGTGATGAGTTCTCTAATTTCCTCCCAACTGGTGCTTGCAGAGCTATTTGGCAGGCCTTTGTTCTAATGTGGGGGGAAAAGAAGACAAAGAAGGAATTGTCATTTCTTTCCTCTGACTCCAAAGAACCATGCACTCTTCTTCAATTGGAGATGTGGTGAATGCTCTACTTCATGTTTCTATAGGTGGTGGGAAACACAAAACAAACCGTCAGTCATAGAAGTGCGTACTTGCCATAGTGTCTCCCTCCTATTGGTAGATGAGAGCAGGGGTCCTTTTGTAGGCAGGAGTGGCAAGCATAGAATCAGGGTTGAGCTAGCTCCCCAACAAAGCTCTGCCTTGTTCTCTCAGTTGGAATGGCTCTTGCTGGCTTCCCTTCCTGACTGCCAGATTGAGAGCAGATGTGTTTTTGAATATGACTTGTTTTGCAGGGGTAGATGTATGCCTTCCTGTCCATTGTTACTAGATACATCAAGAGAATACTGAGTATACCACGTATCTTGTTCCATGCGCTATGCCTGCTTCTGCTGAACAGTAATGGATCTCAGCAGGGGTGAAACCTTTACAAGGGGAGTTAGCAGCTTGTCCCATCCCCCTGATCTTATTTTGATACATTTATAGATTGATTTCTTTAGAAGTGTTAGGTCAGCAAGGATGGAGCCAGATGTGTTTTAAGACTATACATTCTTAGCTAAACAGGAATATTTCCGGTCTTCTGCATGTTGAGCAGCTGTACTAGACACCCCAGAAGTGAATGTTACCATCCATCATTTTATCCCTGTTTCTATAGATAAGTCCTTCTATGAGTTGCTACAGATAATCAGTTACATGCAGGTAATTATTTACTGCATTTGACTTGCAGTTAAATGAAAGCAATTTAATGAGATAGGTGGTAGACCCTTAGTTCTTTTGTTTAAAGCATTTTCTACTATAACATATACTGTTTGTGTGCCATACCATGGCTGGTTGCTTTCAGCCCTCCAGCTTGAAAAAACAGCTTCCTAAAAATGAACCAGTTATGCCCTGAGAGCAGAAGAAGAAAGAAGAAAGGCACTGAGTTTACTTAGTTGTTTGTGCTTCTTGACTAGACGCTCGAGCGAGTGTCTGCGGTAGAGCACAGTGTAGACTGGCTGCCTTTTCCTCTGGCATTAGCAGCAGGAGGAAAAGAGAGACCTGTCTCAGGGCTTCAGCCATTATTAAAGGGAAGACCTCAGTACATAACAACCAACTGCATAAATATCATATGCACTGTCCTGATACTGTAGAACAACCCGGCTTCTTGTTCATCAGATTGAACAGCAAAATTCATAATTTTAATACAGATGTTCAAAGATAAGTGGCTGATTGGGTTGCAAGTTACTGGGGCAGTGTTTCCCAAACTTTCTGGACCAACAGGCCTTTGTCAAGAATCAAGATTTGTCATTGATCATCACTGTGTTCCGTTTTATAGTGTGGGTGGGTGGGTATGAGTGGAAAAGGCCGGCATCAACTGCAGACCGCAGCTTGGGAACCATCTGAGAGTACTACGGAGACTTTCCTTTTTATAAAGAAAATTGTCAGTTCCAGGCAGGTAGCTTTAACTGCCATTTCTTTTCCTAGGAGAATGTTTACTATGAAATAAAGGCTGTTGACAAGTGCATTTCCCACGGGGAACGTTTTTGAGGTTTTGCTTGCATTTATGATCTTAAGACATATTTCAGATTCCCAATAGAAAGACTCAGTTTTTTTTTAATCCTAAATTGAGTATTTATTCTAATGTGATGAATTTTCATACACAGAGAAAACTAAATGTTACTACACTTCTTTTCAGCCTTCCTTTATGGCAGGATTGCCATGAGCTGTGGAGTAAGAAACGAAGAAGGCAGAAGCAGATGGGAATGAGTGACGATGCAACAGCAGCTAAAATGCCTAGGAAGGATATGTCTTTAGGCATGGATGAGAGCAGAACCAACACCCCACAAGGCATGCAAACTTCTTCCCAACTCAAAACTCAGGGCAACTCTAGTGTAGCACTTGGTCAGTAATATTTTATTTGTCATTTTTTCATGATGTTAATTGTCTTCTGCCTTGCTGATTACGCACCTAGAAAACTAATGTTAACATTTTCAAATTCCTAGGAACTTTTGGCTTGTTAAAAGGGACAAAATATTATTGCCAAAACATTCATCCTTGTCCTCAGTAAGCAGGCATTCCCAATATGACTTGCATTATTAGCTTTTAACCTTGTGTCAAAACTCAGCTATCTGAACTACTAATACTTTGAGGGTGTTTTTATCTATGTTCAGCTGGGGGCTCCCTATGGTGTCCATGCTAGCTGCTCCAGTCCCAGTTACATAGCTTCTCCTACGATGCATCAGCGTTATTGGTAAAGAAAAGGTGGAGAGAGAGGATGGCAGGACAAACATAGTTTTAAATTCAGTAAAGTTATTTTGTTCCCTGGGCTGTGTTAATCTTTTCCCTTGTTTAAATATATCTGCTTTTGCAAGTCTCTTCCATCTGACAGTGTTGAATGCAGATACTAGCTAATGAGGGAAATCCTAATACAATGGCAAAAACTAGAGAACTACTTCTGTGGTCTTCATGACCTTCAGCCATGAAAGCGAAAACCAAACCTCAAGTGTTTTGCTTGGTGGCTTGTAAACTACCAAGAAGAAAATGCTGATTTGCAAACAATCAGAGGGATAAAGTAGTAGTCTCCTGCAAGTGCTGGTACCCTGGCATCTGCTTTTGCCCACACATTTTTAGGGTGCATGCTGAAGGACAGACATGGTACATCATAACAAAGAGTGCAGCTAAACCTAATGCATAGTTAACAAAGAAACAAGCATGTAAGGTTCAAAACAAGCTTTTGATGCTCCAAGCTAGTATACAATGTTACTGAAGTGGGAGGTCCAAGAATTAAAAGACAATAAATAGATATTCTGTCTGGATAGACAGTTGCCCCAAATCAACTCTCAATTTAACAGAAGGCCAGGGGCTTCAAGTACATTATGAAGTGATGCAGTAATTCACTTTCTGACTGGTGAAGTTTTTTACTACTTGCTGCTGTTCATCCTGTTTCCCTGTAAAACAGCTGTGGGATTCTGCCACTTCTTCCACTTCAGCTGGAAATCTTGGCAAGACTTTTAAACTTTGCTTTGCTTAGTCCTGAAAATTTTTCCCACAAAATGTCAAATATTATAGAGAAACTTGTTAAGGGTCCCAATGGCGGTAGTTATTTTCTTTATGTTGTTATAACAGGTGGCCACTGAACAGAGTACTAGTTGCATTAATCATTACTAATATAGTATTAATGGCACATATCAAATGAATTAACTAACTAATGCAAAAATTAATCATTCAGACCTGTGTTGCTCTTTGCATACATATAAGTATATAAAAGGTGCACCAAGGTCAAGAATATGTAGTAGAGCAGAGAGACTTTTGTGTAATAGTGAACATTTTTGATGTACGCTCTTAAGCTGTGGAACAATGCTGATGAGCAAACATATCAGAAGTATGTAAAACTGCCTGGGAGACATGCTAAAGACCTGGACATGAGTGCACTATTTAAATGGCTGCACTTGTGACTGTGCACCAAGCATTCACATTTCTCATTTTGGGCAGAAAAAATATTAATCCTGGATTAATTGCTGATGTTTAGGTTCTAACAGGAACCCTTGTCATTGGATTTCTTAGCTTAACATATTTATGCGGGACTCACTGAAATTATTTAAGTAGAAACTGCTACAGTTTCCCAGGATGCAGATTGTTTCAGAGGAATCTTTAAACAAACATTTTGGCTAGGCACACTAATACAGCAGTTATCCTCCTCAGCCTATTGTCAATATTTCCTGCACATTTCAAATCTGGATTCCAGGGAAAATCATCTCTTCCTAGTCCTTAGGCCATAATTCAAATCCCGTGTAATCAATCAGTAACAGACCTGATATTTGTTACAGGGCTGATTTAACACATCAAGAGAATGTGCAAAGAATCTGAGGAGGTAGCTTGTTGCGTTGCCAATTAAAATGTCACTGTTTCCGAATTGCCTGTTTTCACTGCGTTCCAACTGCTAGCACCACAGTGCACATCAACAATCAGGTTGATTTAATTCTGCAACATTATGCTCCCAACTGTGCCCTCTTTGTGCCCCCAGCTTTTAATTTCCCTTACTAACAATCTAAACACCCTGACTGCTCAAACAATTGTTGGGTATCATGAAAAGCATTGAGATTCCTTTAGTTTCATGTTTGAGAGCTGTACATTGGCTTGACAGATAAAAAAGTCTATAATAGGAAGATATTGAGCCTTTTGCTTCATTAGAAGTTGTGTCTTTTAATTAAATTAAATCAGCTTGTATCCCAGGCCTTTTTTATGTTTCCATAACTGGCAGATCTGTAATCGGAATGAATTGGATTTTGTGGCATTCCCTGTTAGCAGCTGCAGTGTTAGTACGCGAGTGTAGTATGGAGCCATTTCTTTCTGCTTGACTTAAGTCTCTTTTGAGTGACTTAATCAGTAAGCCATGGAAAAGGGATCCTGCTTCATCCATACAGCACATTTTCAGCTTGAGAAGACTCTAGGCGTGTCCTGGGTCTTTTAAATTCATAGGTCTCAGAACGCAAAATTCAGTATCACTTTTAACTTAGACTTTTTTTCTAGCTTCTCCGTCATTGCCTTGCTGCTAACATTCAAATCTGTGCCTGCCGCCTCTAACAGCAGCTAATGACACATTGCTCTGAAGTTTTAAAACCACGTGTTCACTGATAACCCCCCCTACACCTGCATGTTCTGACTTCCTTGCTTCTTCACACTTTCCTTTCACTTGTGGCAAATAAACTCCTTGTTTTTATTAAAAAATAATGAAGACCGTTTATGTTCACAAAACTATTTGCCTGCTACTCCTAGTCTTATGTTCATAACTAACTTTGTCCATTCAGCTCTTGTTTCCTTTTTCAGTTTGTTTGTATGCTGTTAGCTTTTGGGTCAATTAGAGCCTGGTCACTTTAGCAGGTGTCAAAATATAAATTCAGCATCTGGATGGGAGAGGATATGATTGGAAATGTGTTTTGCAGATGGCCAGTTTTTCACAAAGGGATGTAATATGTCAAAGATAGGAAATTCTGTAGGAACTGGAAATCTTACAGCTGCCTGGAACAGGTGGCCTTAAGCCCCAGCTTAATTGTATTGTGGAAAGTTGAGCTCAAACCTGATGGTTTTCATCTGTTCGTTTTTGTGTGTGTGCATGTGTGTGTGTGTATGCAACCCCTTTAAGCCATTTTCTCAGTATTGGATCATGCTATCCCATTTCCTATAAATGCTCCTCCAAATGCAATTAATTTGTAAAAACTTTCCATGTCTGTGTTGTCAGAGAACCGTACTTTGCCAATTATAGCAGCCCTGGTAGACAGATCTGGATTTGGAGTCACCAAAGTCTGACAATTCTAAGTAAGTTCTAACCTTGTTGGTTTTCTTTTTTTTCTTTTTAGTGAAAACAAGCACTGGACAGCAGTTAAACCAGAATGAAGTGGCAATCCTACTAAATTTGCTACAGTCTAAAACAAGTGTTAATTTGGCACAATTTGCCCAAGCGTTGAATATTAAAGTAAACCCAGAGACTCAGCAGCAACTAAATAAATTAAACCTTCCTGCTGGAATTCTAGCAGCAGGTGAAAAACAGTCTGAACAGCTGCCACCACCACCACCAGACCAGGAGTCTTTAAAACAGCCAGCAGTCACTCAGCCTCCTGTACCACCTGCTCAGCTGAATCAGCCTAAAGTTGAGACTGATGCTACCCAGGCGGCTGTGCAGAGTGCATTTGCTGTTCTGTTGTCTCAGTTAATAAAGGCTCAGCAAACAAAACAGAAAGATCTTATACTGGAAGACAAAGAGAATGGATCAGGAAATGAAATGTCATTGCAACTCAGGCAGCCTCCAGAGCCCAGCACTCCTGTCTCTGGTAACCGGGATGAGATGGACTCTCCAGTTCCTGCTTACCCACATCTGATCAAATCACTGTATTCCTCTGCAGGTACTGACAGTCTTACATGCCGCTAGGTAGTAGAAGGAAACGTGATTAGTTTGGGGGATAAGAGTTAACATGCTTTACACTCCTGGGGGATGCATAATTGTACCAACTTAGAAAGCACAGAACATGTGCGGAAGGGATGGGGTTGAAAGTGAAGTAGTTGAAACGAAGAGGTTTCATTTCCATTTGTCACTTGGAAAGTTGATTGTGTCCACAATTTTCTGCTGACAGATGTGCCGATACTCTGGTGTTTTCATTAGCATTATTTTGGGAGCACCTAGATTCCTCAGTCAAAACTGCAGCCCCGTTGTGCATATGCTCTACAAACAAAGCAAAAGCTAATTCCTCCAAAAGGTTTAATAGGGCATATGCACCCGTTTACTTTTTTGGTAAACTTTTGTTTTCAGAAATAAAACTGGTCTACCCCAAATAATAAGTTTTAACTGAGCAAGCCGCATCTACGGAAATTCTATTTGCGAAGTGAAAATGGGACAGTTTGGAGACATAGTACCGCGTACGCCTCAAATAGTTAGCTACAGCTTCCTCACACTTGTCAGAAGTTGTGTTAAATATAATTAGGTGACTACCTCAGCTATACTTCCTTTTGGTTCAGTTGGTAAATGGTGTTGGCAACTCTGCACAAATTTTTTGTAAGGTATGGTATTGTTTTGATTATAATTTGACCACATGTGTTTTCTGGTTTAGTTTTTGAACAGAACCTTTCTTTACTAAATGAGTTGCTAGCTTTTGATAAAAACCTTAAGCTGCTTATTGGCCTGACAAAATCCCACTGAAGAATCGTATAACTGAGGAAAAGACCCTGAGTCAAATTCACTAAAAATGCTTAAAGACTGCTGCACTGAAATAAAGTCTGACTTAAGATTTTTATTGCATGCACAAAAATGCTGCAAATACAAAAGTAAGATTGCAGAGGGCCCAATTAATAGTTCGACCCTGTGTGCATTTTTTTTCTTTTTCTTCTTTTTATGATTCTTTTGGAGAGAAAGAGAAGGTATAGACCTACAATGGCAACAACAGAGGATATGACATCTGCTTGTTACATTTGGTAGAAGCCCTTCTGTTTCCCAGGACCCATCTCTCAAAGTGCTTTGGTTCATGTTTTCTGTCCACTCTTCTGCACTTCTTGGAATAGCATTTAAGGGTCATGTGCCATTTCCGATTTAAATTGGGTGGTGAGGTAAACCAGGTCTTTGTTTTTCCAAAGCACCTTGCCCCAGTTGCTTTTAAATTTGACTGTACTTCAACTTGATTTCCTTTTAAGTGCTGTGGCAGAGTTTAAGGTGTTCTAGCTAAGTGGTCTTTCCCTTCTGGCCTTGGAGCTTTTTGACTAGGAGATCCAGAATTCTTTCTAAGACTCTTCCTTTCTTTCAAATCAATTTAGGTCAAGATGATGTGGTTAGACAGCCTGAGATGAGGCTTCTAAACCGCACGCCAGAACAAGAGCGCCCTCGCATCTTGCCCCCAGACCAACGTCCTCCTGAGCCACCAGAACCACCACCTCTCACTGATGAAGACCTTGACTATCGGACAGAGAACCAGCATTTGCCTATTAGTAATTCTTCAGGAACAGATCCTCATGCAGGAGTGAAAGCAGCTCTCCTACAACTGCTGGCTCAGCACCAGGCTCAGACAACAGATGAGGAGCCTGTAAAAACTAGTGTGGATTATCAGGCAAGAGACTCCTACGTACCAGGTCCAGACTACAAGGATAACTTTGGCTCATCTTCCTTCTCTTCTGCCCATTACAGTAGTAGTGATGGAATAGGAAGTGGATCGTCTGGGGCATTGGAAAGGAGGAGCTACATTGGAAACTCAGATATTCAGTCTTTGGATAACTACAGTACTGCTTCATCTCACTCTGGGGCTGCACCTCCATCTTCTGCCTTTTCAGAACCATTTTCCAGCTCAGTAACTGGTTATGGAGACATTTACCTCAACACTGGTCCCATGCTATTTAGTGCTGATAAGGACCATCGATTTGAATATAGCCATGGCCCTATCCCAGTTCTGGGAAACAGTGGTGACACTTCCACGGGGTCAGAGAGTACTCATTCTTTACCCACAAAGATGCACAACTATAGCTATGGAAGTAATCTACAGGAAAACCCTAGTGGCATTAGTCACCTGCATGGACAAACTTGGACTTCTCCTGCCCAAGGACCTGGATATTCCCAGGGATACAGGGGACACATTAGCACATCAACAGTCAGAGGGCGAGGCAGAGGATTACCATATTGAGTATCTGTTTTTCCTCAGGCACATCATTTTTATCTGGAAAGACTTTTTTTCTAGCTGCCGTTTAAAGCAGCAGTCCAACAGACTTGAATAATGTTAATTCAACAGCTTTATTTTTATGTGGAAAAGGGTCTTGCATACAGTAGGAAAATTAAAAAAAATGCTTAAAACTCATGCTGTCTGAATACTAGATAAATTGATTGTACATGGTCACAGATTCTAGTTCTGAATTTTATTTTGTATTTTGGCAGTTTTAAGTGGATGCTAAATTTAGGGACATCAGCTTTTTACGGCACTCTTTCAGAACTTCTGAACTATGCACATTTGTGCTTTTTTTGTAAGTTTGGACCAACTTTTATGTAAAAAAAAAATTTTACAACAATCAAAGCAGGGCACTGATTTATTTGGTATTTTTCTTTTTACAGAACTACCTTTAGTCAAAGGTCACTGTCAGTCTTTGCACTGCTTTCAGTGTTATTGTGGAAGGTGTACTTTGTGCTCATTTCAGATAATAAAACACAACCTTTCTCTTGATGCAACCATTTTATAAATATTGGTCAATGTTATTTTTCTTTCCTTTCAAAAAGTGGATGTCCTAGTAAAATAATCCTCCCCATCTCCCACAGGTTTATATGAAAACTATTTTACTTGAATGGTAAGTGCCTTAACATGTAAGCTTAAGGTCTGCAAAAATTCCCTGTACGTGTACCCCTTTCCTTAAAAGTACTTTGTGGTTTGAAACAAAGAATAGTGCTAAATATAAATAGTTACACTGCATAAAAATATCAGTCATTATAGGAGACTTCAGTAGACCATAATTTAAAATATCATTTGTCATTTACGTCAGATGAACCAACCACTTAGTAGCTACCTGGTTTTCTCTTGTTGAAATAAGTCCCCATGTTGATTTTATTAAGTCCCCACATTGACCACTAATGTGAGGGAAAAAAAGGTTTCCTTCACCTCGCTCTTTCCCAAGAGGCATATTAAATATTCCAGTCATCCCGCCATTTCGGCTCTGTATTATATTGGCCTGTTGGGTGTTAGATTTTTTTTTTAAGACGGAAATATGAATTTTTCTTTTAAATGTCAACAACAGCAATTAATTAATTCTGTGTGAAAAGCTGACACTGTCTTCTCTTACCACATATTTAGAAGCGTTATAGAAAGTAACCAAATGTAAATGACCAGTATTTAATACAGCAGCAATTTTTTTATATTGGGTCATGTTCTCTGTAAATTGTGATGGTGCCAACTAACCCCTTTTATATTCGGCTATTCCTTTGATCATTTTAATACTTGAGTTGGATCTCTTTGAACAGCGGATAGTGACTGTAGCTGAAATTGCTACCAGAAACCACTGCTCCAGTTCTAATATTAGAGATTCCAGCATGTTTTTTCTCTGAGAACAGCGCTCTCTCTTCTGCAGAGAGAAAGGTACGACTATTTTGCATGTACTTATGAATGTTTAAAAGCCCATATTGGAAACAATTTTCCAACTGATTATCCAGTTGATAAGTCAGTACATTATGTAACTGCGTGTTTAATTATTACTTTTTAAAAAGTGAAATTTCTACTTAGGCTATTGCAAATGTAGTCTTGTCAGTGACTTTTTGGATTTTCAAAAATAGAAGCCAAAGTTGTCTTATTTAATACTCTGATTCTAATTTATGCCTAATTACTGCATTGTAGTGTGTGGGGGGAAAAAAGCTTACCTAACTAGGTAGCAATTGAGCATCGGCATAGGAAAAATGGTGAGTCTGGTTGCTTAAGATATCCCTGTAAATCTGCCAGTTATCTAAGTTGCCCTCAGTGGAGAATTTTGCTGCCTAAGCTGAAAAGAAATATTTGTGACCTGAGTAGCCTATGTTCAAAAATTAAACACTTTATATAATGACACTCTGTTTGGACAGTTTTTCTTGTACGCACATCTTAGTTTTGTCATTTCCCCTGTAAAATCAAGAGAAAATAGTTTTATTAGTGTCTTAAGACAGGACAGTGTCAGCTACAACTTACTCGTTAAACAAAAAAATCCCACCGTTCTCAGATAGAAACAAAATCCATGATTTTTAATAAAGTCAGGCAAAATGCTTTCAAATCCCTTGAACAACTGTCAGGGATGGAAATGCATGATTAAATGCCAAGCTGCTACACTTCAAAAAGTAAATGCTGGTGATACTTCATTAAAAAAAAAACAGGTAAGTCAGAATAAAAAATAGATTACAAGAACAAATGATCTAACAACAAAATCTAAAGAAGTGATCATAGAGCCTCTTTGCCACTTCCTACTTGGAGGGAAATTTAAGCCAGCAAGATGTTCCTTTCACTTATCTCCTTTGTGTACATACGTAGTGGTACCGCAGTGTAAGGACTGAAATATTGTGACAATTACATTGAAACTTTGGCATGTTTAATGAATGTTAATATGAAATCACTTGACTAATTTTAGTCTTGAAAATACTTAACAGAACACTAACTTATTAAAAAAAAGTCAGTCTTAACTGTATATGTATAAATACAAAAGATTAAAAAGCTGACTTCCAAATGGATCAGAAACAGGCCTGTTGAGAACTGTGAGTTCCTTCACACGTTGTTGCTGGAGAGTGCATTGTACAATTTTCTACTTATTTAGTTTACAGAATATTGGCCTAACATTTGAAAGCATGCAGCCTACAGCACAGGTTATCTGGAGGTGGGGCTGAATTATGCTCATACATCAAATCAAGATGAGAGATCCCCCTCTTCCATCCTATATATGGCACTTGCCAGCGTGCAAACACCCGAAGTGTATTGTGAGGAGCTTAGAGGATTTATGTGGTGCAAAGAGTGTAATCACTCTACTCCCATTCCAAGTAAACTTAATGCATGGAAGGAAGTGTCTCCTTAGTGCACACTGATTTCAGGCAGAGAAATAGCTTGTTGGGCAGTTCTCAGGCTGCAAAAAAAAAAAAGTAACCCCTGGGACTGGTCAGAAACTTCCAAGAACCATTCTAGCCCCCAGTTCATTCAGAATATGGGCAACACAAAGGTGGCTTTATTACCTTTGCTCCCTTTTCCCTGTGGCTGACACCATCTATGCTGCACCTAAGATACGCTAGAAAAAATTGGATCCAGCATCAAAAAGTAAGTGCTCTACAATGCAGAAGAAAATAGTAAAGTATTTTGGCCTTGGACATACTGAAGGTTTAATAGTTCATTAGTTTTCTTGTTAATGTTACAAGAGAAGAAAATAATTAAACATGATGGTGCTAATATGACAGTGACTGAAAACATCTGCAGTTACATGGCTTTGACCCCAGGAAAAGATACATTAATCAAATTCATGATCTAGGAAAAAAGAACAGAAAATTAAATTAATGGGATACTTATTTTGAGTGCAAATATAATTGCTGGAAAGATTAATTATAGATTTTAAAAACAACTTCTGTACTTGTTCCTTAAATGATTGTTTCAAGTTTAATTATGATTTGCTCTCATCGTAATAGGCATAAGATGCCTAATTAAACAGGAATGGAAGGAGTCTTAATGTAACCTCGATGCTTTGAGATTGCTTTTCTTGTTGTGTTTGCAGCAGGAGTTGGTACCAGTTTTGAGGAAGATGTTATACACAGATCACTTAGATTTGTAAATGCTCAGTAAAAAAGTATTTTTTTAAACATTAACTAGCCTAGATAACTAGGGTCTTTCCTGTGGTCTTTATTGAGAGAAAATTCCATCAGATCCCAAAGTACAAGATCTGCCCCTAAGTTTAATTTCCAATAGAGGAAAAAAAAAATTTAGTCACATTTTTTGATGACTTGTTTTAGATTTAAGGATGAAATGGCCCAGAACGAACTTATGTAGATGGGAAAATATTTGATAATGCTTCTTTTATTTCCCCCATAAAAAGGAAGCATTGTTTTGTTCTTCATACTCATGAAGTGTACTGTGACACAAAAAATTCCAGGAAACCTATTCAGATCAAAACTTGGTTTACTATTTACAAATGAAATGAACACAGCCCGACTTAAACTTTAAACTAATTTGTGCTTAACAGAGTTAAGTACCCTTTATTGCAGAAGTTAGTTTAGTGCAAGAAAACCTAATTCAAAATACCAAAACTGTTACTTCAGCTTACTTTTTCTGTTTGTTTCTTTAAGCCATTTGTAATATAAGATGTATTGTGTGACCTGTAAATAAAATACCATGGTAACTTCAAAGTTTTTATCCTTGTTTTCCCTCTTTGGACATGTGCTAACATCTCACAAAAGGACTTCATATTTTACTTTGAGTTAGATTGAACTGCCATTATTTTCTTAACTTGAATACTAAATAACTTTCAGAAGATTAGAAGAGGCTAGAAAGACCTTTTTAATCGATCCACTCATTTTCAAAGAAAAAGAACCACAAATTTGTGTATCCAACAAATTCTTAATTACTGATGAGTATTGTGGTATTAATTCTTCATTCCTATTGCGTCGCTGACTTGTAATTTGTGAAGAAATGTAATAGTTCGAAACAGTCTTGGGTTGTTCATGTAAAACAGGCGAGATGGACGCTTGGTGGAGTTAGACTCCAGGGTGGAGATGCTGTTGGTGCCACCACTGTAAGCAGTGGTAAGGACTTAATGATAACTGGACCTTTTTTGGTAACGTGCTTTTTTATACAATGAATGCAAGCAGTAGTAGGACACTTGAAAGTGTACCAGCATAGAAAGAGTCAATTGGTGATTGTTACCCAGATTTTTTAAGGTTTAAACCAGGAAAACCACAGAGGTAGCAATGCAGCTCTAGGTTTTCCTGTGTTTCATTGTTTTCCTTCTAAATAGATGTTAAGTCTGGGGTTTTTTTGTTTGTTTTTGGTATTTTTTTGTGGGGAGGGAGTTGGATTTAAAGAATATAATCCTTTTGAGCAGGATGATGAAGTATGCAAGTTGAAAAGACCCAGCTGGTTATTACAGAGACAGTATCTAAGCTACAGCCTGGGGATACCTCTCACATTTCGGGAGAAGGAAGCCTTGGTACCAACTACATTGAAAAGCCAGATCTTATATCAAAGGTCTAGGCTGTGTTTGCTTAGTCAGCTGCTGAATGGAAATAGTGTCAAGCCATATGGGAAAGAAGAAAGTGACACCTTATTTTAATAAAGAAAAGCGAGCGAGTTACAAAGGCTAACTAGAGTAATGAATATGAAATTGGATCAGAGGCTAAAGCAGAAACAAGCAACTTCAAATTAGAGCTACAAGCTAAAGCATCTCATTTTGAAGGACCAAAGGGAAGAAATGCAGTGTTGCAGTTAATGCTTGTAAATAGTTGCATATGTTTGCAGACCTGGATCATAAACTGCGTTTCTTTCCATAAGGAACAGCATGTGCAGTTTTGCTTAGGCTGGTAACTGTTAGCAGACCATCCCCATAGTCAAGAGTCTTAGTTTCACCAGAACTCCTGTGAAGTGGAGGAAAGTTGGAGTTCAGACTTACTGGCAGCTACAAGAGATGTGCGGGAAGACAGCTTTCCACTCCTCTATGCAGCCAGGAAAGAGAACTGAGCCTCACTTTCCTCTTTCCCACCCACCTGCTAGCAAAGAGCAGCACAGAACAAGCCATAAAGCCGGTTCAGTTTTCATAATCACTCAAACCAGGCTGTTTTAATTGTCAAATTAGTGAACCTTGAAATTGTAAAATCACCTTAGTGAGGGTAGAGTGCTCTGCTCTTGCCTTCAGCAAGATGGCATTTGATACCAACTTTAGTTTGAGGCCTGGGAGAAGTATACTTATGTTATTCCTGCCATAAAGCAGTGCAGTATCAAAGATCTGGCCCACAGAACTTCTATCCAGTCTGCTGCATCACCGGTAGGTGTTGGACCAGATCTACATATTGCATGTGCCAGCCTGGTGCCACGTACTGCATGTGGCATACAAGCCTGACCCTTACCCACACTGTGAAATATGCAGGCCTGGTGCTGGTGTGCACAGAACAATGCAGAGCTGATTCAGCTCCAGGCACTGGATTCAGTGCACAGGGCTGCAGGCCTGATCTGGCCTGTGGATTGGCCCCATGCTACTCATCCAACCTCTGGATCAGCCTTGCAATAGGTCTCATACTTTCATATTAGCTAGGCTAGTTTCACTAGGTGGGACCACTCAACTTCCAGGATAAGAGCGAGTTCAGGTATCTCCACGAAGTGCTGCATTGTGTCATCATATAGACTCATACTCTGAATGTTTTTATAGTGCAAGTCCATTGCACTGTAACTTTTCACTATTTTTATCTCAAGGCAGAACAGCATTTGCTGTTGATACGAAATATTCAAATAACTTGTCCCAAAATAGGCTGGATTCTCCATGAACGTACTCTGTGGGCATAGACAGAAGAAACAATTTATCCAGAGTTAAAAGTGGGAGGGCAGGGGGACTTTCAGTGTGTCATTTGATCTGTGGTAATCAGTTAGTGCATCCAGTCTATCCTGTGGTAAAAGCAAGCTAAACTGGGAAAGTAGCGGTTTCATTCAGCAGTTAACTTCAAGTTTATCTTCCACTTACTGCAGGTTAGAATTGGGCACACAAAACTGTTGCCACAAATCAGCTGATAGGTCTTAAGTTCTTCCTCGACTTCTACCTTGGTATCATATGTCCATGGGCAACTGGTGCCACCTTAGTCGGGGGGCACATGTCCCCTCAGCAACCGGGGGGGGGGATCCCCCTGTGGCCACTCTTGTGTTCCTGCCTGCCCCCCTCCGCCCATCACCTAAGCGGGGAGCACATGCACCCCCTACACGTCGCCACTGCATGTCTGTCTATATTTGAGCCTTAAGGAGCCTGGTGCTGCAATTGTAAAAGTATATGCAGCTCTGTTCATGTACTGATCTTATTAGATTGAGTGAATCTCTTTGAAATAGCACTTATAAAGCCAGATTTTAAAAAAAAAATATCAAAGCATACAGAATAGCAGACACTTTTAACAGGCAGTAAACTTTAAATGCAACTAACTTGGAAAAGTCATTTGGCTTTGCAACATGACCTTGAGATCTGAAAGTCAACAGTCAGCAGGTAATACCTTCAGTAAAGGATTTTGAATGACAAATGCTGCCCTTGGTATAACTGGGTAGAATCTGGCCCAGCAGTTCCAGTTTAACAGCTTTGGTGGCATCTGAGATTCTGTTGCTATGACGGGAGCAAACCTTTAGTCACTAGATAGAGCGGATACAAGAATATGATCTTGTGGGAGAAGGTGCCATTTTCACATAGCTGCCTTTCAGAGTTTAATTGCTCTACAATTAATGGCAATTAGAGTTATGCAAAATATTTTCAATACCCTTCCTTCATGACAAGATTCCCATCCTTTTAGCAATGATGTCAATTCTGCTACTTCTGCATTTTTGAAGGCTCTTGATAAAGATGCATCTGACTTTCTCATAAGTTAGCTAGAGAAATACAGGCTCGATCAGGGGCAACCCAGATACAGCCTGCAGAGCCCATGGAGCTCCCCACAGGTCTGGAAAATTGGCAGTGTGCTAAACTGCTACCACTTATCCTGCTGCCAATTTTCTGGACCTATGGGCCCAGATCTGAAGTAGTCACTGCCAAATTTCAGCCCGATTAGCCAGATGACATAGGTCTGAACTCCACAGAGGACTACACTATTTAACATTTATTAATGATCTGGTTGCCAGAATAGAGCTTCCTAACCAAAATGAAGATGATCTGAAACTGGGAAGATCACAAACATTTTAAATTCAAAAGGCTCTTGTTAGATTGGAAAGCTGGGACTAGACACAATAGGATGAAGCAAAACACAGACAAATGCAAGGTATTATGCCTAGGGAAGAGTAACTACATTCACCATATAAAAATAAAGAATTTGTGCAGGGTAGCTTTGTTAAGAGGGATTTAAGGATTTTGTTGGATCACAAACTCAACATGAATCAGTAGTGTGATGCAGTTGTAAAAATCTGCATCAATAGGAGTATTAGGTGCAAGACATGGGAAGCAAGAGCACCACTCAGCATTAGCTGGGCCTTGGCTACAGTGTGTGCGCAGTTCTGGGCTCCACATTTTAAGAAGGATGTAAAGGAAATAGAGAAGGTCTAGAGGTGGGTAAAAAATAAGCACTGGATAGGGTACGATTTATATAAATTCACGTAAAGGTTTGGATGAGATGTCCCTTCAAACCCAGCCCTATGATTTAAGTAAGTTCTAAAGCAGTGTTTCTCAACCTTTTAAGTAGCAAGTACCCCCTAACTTCTGAAAATTGTAATAAGTACACCAGCACTCAATTTTCCGGGGGATTTTATATTTACAGACTGTGTGCCAACTATGAAACTATATGTTGGAAGAAGGTCTGTGTATATAAGGCCATGATGTGACAGATGTCTGATCTGGTGTGGATAGGGTTGCCACCTTTTATACCGGGGTGCACAACTCAAGTATGTACCTGAGCTAGAGGTGATGTAGGCCAAAGCTAGGAGGGCTGAACTCAGTGTTGTGCAAAGCACGGCCCACCAAATTATTACCGGTAAATTTAAAGTGCCGCACAATATGCGGCACACCAAATTTTCTGCCATGGTTTTGAGAGGAAAAGAGGGCAAGAGAGAATGTTGGGGTACCTGCGTACCCACTGCATGTGTCTCACGTACATGTATCACAGGTTGAGAAACTATGTTCTAAGGTCTCCCCCACTCTCATGGATACAAATATCCAAACCAATCCATCACACCTCTGTTGATTTCTGGAAAGAGAGCAGCTATGTTCAAGAGGTTTCTCTACTCTCCTACCACAAAGGATTTTGCTATCTTTCACCCACTTGCTCTAGCTCAACAGCAAGTATGGTTACGAGATGGGACCCTCCAGTTCCTCTCCAGCTGATGGATTTCTTCAGTTCTTGGATCAAGGAGGGAGCTATTTGTAGCCATTCCCCAACCCCACAGCAACTTCAAAGAGCATTTTCAAAGACAGAACTTGTGTTTTGTCCTTTCACTGATGAAACTGTTGTGGACTGAAGGAAAGCAACCTGACATGTGCCATGCAGAGCTCAGCATTGTGGTCTGAGGTAGTCTACAGCATGAGTAGTTTCAGTTAGAGCTGCTGTTACTATCCCTGCTAGGAAACCTATGTGAATCATCACTCAGTTTACTGGTATTCATACCGGGAAGTTCAGAGTATCTCTATGGACAAAAAAACATCTTTTGATCTTCCGTTCGTCCAAAGACCATACATTTCAAC